ACTTGTGTGCACAGTGTAAGACACTGGGGGAAATGGGTGCTATTCGTCTCATGGAGGAAACATCTATCAGTGGCTAATAGCCATGGAGACTCAGAGAAACCTCCACATTCAGAGGTACTAAAACTCTGAATCCATGTGCCAGGAGGCAACACCAGGTGAAGGTTGTGGCCTCTATGCCCTGTTGTTGGCTCTCCAGAGGAACCGGTTGGATATCATGTGAAACTAGATGGACCACTGGTCCGATCCATCAGGGCTCTTCTTATGTTCTTATGTTTGTGTGTACTGTCAAGTCTCCCTAAGAAGGCATAGTCTTCCTTTTGGCTACAACCCTTTAAGCAGCTGAGACGCCTTTTGTTATCCAAGATACACAGAAGCTCACCTCATCATTGGCTGCTCACCATCTGGCTTGCAGTTTGCTTCTGGCCACACTCCTTAGGAAAGAGGGATGTTTCCCTTCTCCTGAAGCTCCCTAGCTGACACTTCTGGCCCTGGGGTCAGATGCATGTGCTATATGGCCAGCTTCTTCTCATGGCTCCACCACCTGCTCAATGGCCTCTGCCTTCCCACCAGGCCTGTCCTAGTTCAGCTTGCCCCACCCTTTCCTCTCAGATCTTCCAATCGCTCTCTTTTCTGAGGGAACTTTATATCACCCTCTAACTTCAAAAGGACCTCAGTCTCACAGATCCATGTGAACAGAGAAAATTACTTGTATCTGTGTGTGAATGAGCTACTGCTGAAGGTGCCAGAATACTAGGTGATGTCAGGAGAAAGATTTTAGAAAATGCTATGATGGAGGTTGAGATGATGAAGAGAGTTCATAGTGAATACAAAATTAGCAACCTCTGACCTGCTTGCACAGAGTTTACACTGGGGACCTGTCTTGAGATGAATGAAGCACCTTGAGATGAAGAATGTGTTTCTATTAAAAGTTATTACCACTGAATTTTATATATAAAAATTAAAACTTCAGGCTATTTGGAGAGCTTTTCAAAAAAGCATATGTCAGAGGCAAGTGTTACTATAGAGAAAGTTTACAGACATTCCTGTCGCCTAAACAACAAGATGAAGCGCTAATAAACACAGCTTGCTTCAGTCAAAGGGACTGCTATGCCTCTTCCATTAAATGAGCAAAAAATATATCTGTTTGCTTTAAGGTATCACAAGACTCTATTGTTTTTGTGTAGGAAATTATCATAGCTAGTCCTTTAAAATCTTGGCAGTGGAAGCAGGGGGTGGACTGTTGCTGCAAGGGGGAGGCGCAGGCAGCCCTACAAAATTTTGCACACTTCTGTTCATTAGATTGACTAAGAAAAAAGACGTTTTATGTGAGACTTGTCCCCTCAGAATGGAGGGAGGGCTGCCACCATACTTAAAACAGCGCTCTCAAATAAGTTGTCTGTGTGGAAGAGTCAGGCTTCACCATTTAGAGAAAGGGCCTGTGTCAACCCTCTAAGTGGCCCCGGGTCCCATGCTGTCTCTTGTGACCAAAGTCCTTTGTTGTACTTGGCAGTTCATGTCACTTCCCATCTTCTCCTCCTCTAAAAGCTCATCCTAAGCTCTCCTTCCACGCAGTCTCAATATTGACAAGATGATTCCCCATTTCAGTACTGTCAAGAGCTGGCAATAAGTGACAGCGCTATCAACAACAAGGCTTCTTGTTGGCTGATGCAAACCCTGAATATGTGGTCTGATATTCTGAACTGGTCACTGGGCGATTCTGCATCTAGCATTTGTTCCACATTTTCTCAACTGGGAGGGGAAAGTGCAGCTCAAAACCACACCCAAATGCCTCATGGCACCGCAGTACTGACTGCAAAGTTACCCCTGAACGGCCATAAAATGGCCATAAAGGTACAGAAGGTACAATATAATCTGATGATCCAAATAAAGTGAAAGGGGCCTGGAGTGTGGAGGCTACCATAAAAAAAGGTCAAAGGAAGTGAAAGCAGCACGCAATGCAGAGAGGAATTTCTGTTCCAATGTGGGTTTTGTAAAACAACGGAGGGAAAAGCCAATGCAGAATCAGCCACTGTGAGAGGAAAGACAGAACTAAAACGGATGCAGCGAGCAAGAACAACACACTTTCAAAGACATTAAAAAGGGCAGTCCAAGAGACACTCACCGAGCGAGAGGGCAGCAATGAATGCCGTCATCACACTGCTGGCACACAGCATGGCTGCCTGGTTCAGCTCCACATACCCTTTGGCTACGGCCTTGAAGAGGACTGCCACTACTGCTGCCAGGAGTCCTACAACTGTGGCTTGTGTCTATTGAGCAAAAACAGTGAAGGACAGAAAGTCTCAGAGAATGCATTCTGAGGGCAGTTTGCAAACATTCCTGTAGGAATCCGGCCCCATGTTGTACAGCGGGGGAAATATATACTTCACACAAACAGTACACAGGGAAGTCCAATTTTTAAAAAATGAAAAGCAACTTTCAAAGGAAGCCTTTATTTTAGTAAGGAAGTGACAGGGAACGGGTGTGCTCAACCTTCTCCTTCTCAGCCATTTCCCTACTCTAAATCATATATACCAGAAGCCTCTAAGGCGGTTCCCACCTGGAGCAATTCAGATACATGCTTTTTGAGAGTAAACTTTTGTTCTCTTTTAACCACTAACTAAAACCTTTTATTTCCTCATGCTTTCCCTGGCTGATTGCAGGATGGTTTGGGGAAGGGGGGGTTTCCTACTCATTATCTCATTGTTATTTTTCATTGTTCTTATTGCTAAGCATTATACTGGATATCATTATTAGTTTTGGTATTTTGAATGTTGTATTGTGTGCTATTTTATTGTGTGTTACCTCAGGTGATACATTTGGAAAGACAGGATATAAATATATTAAGCAACACAATTGGAACTACCTCCCCCCATACACAACATACTTTACTCAAAATGCCCACCTCATTGAGTTGCTTTTTATGTTTTTTAAAAGAATTTTGTGCTTCCTTACACATGTTTGTGTATAATATGTAGTTTGCCACTAAGACAATTTGTGTTTGGATCAGATCCCCTCCAAACCCACAAGACCACCATTACAGCAACCTCCTATCAGCAACATGCTGATAAAAACAAAATTCTTGGATGTGTTCTGCATCATTTTCTTCAAAGCTACTTCCCACATGGCTTTTTTGAAGGTACCTGCAACGCATCTTCCATAATACTGGAGTGGATACACCTGCTCACTGTGAAAACTCACTGTGGAGAGCTAAGGCTGGCTCCCTGTGGTGTGTTTTTACTGTGAAGTACATGCATTGGTGACATCATTGTAAAGGTACACTGTGAATAAATAACACATTAACCCCCCAAAACTGTAATACCTGAAGCAGCCTTTGCCCTCCATAACATTGACAATAGTGTTAGAATTCAGATACTTTCAAATTATCCACAAAAAGCACACTGCTGCCCTCTGGTGAATACAGATTAAAAAAAGAACCGCATTCTATGCCGTGGCGATACAGATAGTATTATGGGCGTATCTGCACTGTTATCAGTTTTATATAACTATCATACAGAAAAGAAGGGAAAGTGAAATAGAACATAGATATATAAGAATTCAGGCCGTCTTTCCTGCAAAGGCTGGTGACAATTTGAAAATTTCATACTGTATCTAAAGTCTTTAATAACATCTGATAAATCCAAACGATGCAAAAAAAGAGTTTATATATCAAGGTTTCAACAATGTGAATATTACAATCCTGGGAAAACATGTGATTAAGATACACTGAACACAGCAGTACTTAACTTCAAGCTCAAGGTGCTTAGGAAAATCCTGTGAATTGAGGGAAAACACAGGTCTGATTCAAGACCTGACTACTTAGGCTTCTGGGTATCTGTAGCAAGTTTACATGTGGAAGACCATTGTATAGTGAGGACATAGTGAATTATTACATAACACTGTGATGCCCACTATGGCCCACTTTATCCCAGGCATCAGGCCTGCACCGCTAATTCCCAGCCCATTAGTGCATAGTCAGCAATAATGCTGAAGGCATGAAAGCATCCTACGGCACCTTACATGCAGTTGAACGTAGCAACTTTTAAAAAGCTAGGCAAGCCTCAAGGTCTTTGTATCTCACTGATTGTCAGGGAAATGCACAAATGTATTACCAGCAATTCACCCTACAGAGTGACATCTCTAAAGGCCTGTCAGGGATCCTCAGTCTTCAGGGAAGGATGCAGGAAGCCTATCTTTGCTTGATTTTGCCATGTAACCAACACCATGAGTATAACATCTTGTTAAACTTCACCAGTCTTTATCACAAGCAATTTGTCCTTTTTCCCAGTATTCTACAAGCATAGCGGGCCCCGACTCTAAAGTAAGATGCTGTTGTAACTTGATTTTAACGCATGTAGTCATTAGACCACTATGCACAAAAACAATATTATCACCGCTAACTGTAAAGCAAAATTATCACCAGGGGTTCTTCAAAATGACCTTGAGCCTCATGCCACTCCAAACACCCTTGCGAATGACTTTAGGTAAATCGCATTTAAGTAATGCCATTAAGTCTTCTTGAATGAATGCTAGATCTTGCTCACCTGAATCAAGGCCAAATTACAGGTGGCCATTTTCCACTGTTCATGGGGATCATCCATCTGTCCAGTGTTAGCCTGGGAGGCAGAAGAAGAAAAAAAAAAAAAAAATCATCTTTGCAGTGACAGGTACAGTAGGGGATGGAGCCTGCCACAAAACTGTTGCACCTGCATTTTGCCTGCAGGGAGGCAATGGCCTGTGCCTATCTCCCACATCTCTGACTTTTCCCCTTCTCTTACTAATCAGAGCTCTCCCGATTCAATTCCTGCAGGACACCTTCTCCTCCCACCGGCATCAATTGAATGTGCTGGAGGCAGACTGCCAAGGACAGGGGCACAGATGACGTGAACTCATGCATGCTCACCTTACTGTCAAAATGCACTTTCTTTGGGTACAACAGAAACCTGTACAACTTCCACATTTTTGCTTGAGGGAAACTCCTTTGAAACATTAATCTAATAAAAGTCAGGGCATCAGAGCAATGCTCTATACATGCGTGTGCATGCACATACACACACAAAAAGACTGCTCTGTTCTTCTTAGAGACATAAAATATCTAAAAGTTTTCCAGGGCTGCGCCACAGCTGGCTGTTGCACAGCTCCCCCCCTTTTTTTAAATTGGCCTTGAAAACTTTTGAAGGGATTGTGCCCTGAATCTGACTCTAAACAAGTCTCCATAAGAATGGTAACCATTCATTTACTACGAGTGGTGATGAAAGATGATACTATTGAGTGAGAACTAATTTTGCTTCTTGCCCCCGGTGACCCTAGATACTGGACTGATTCTTTTTCCTACCTGCACAGTCCGACCCTTCATTTTCAGGGTCTCGAGTTCTGATTTCGGGTCACGTTACGGTGTGATGAAATGCTAGGAACTGGATTATGAGTGCAGAGGTGAAATACTAAGGGCAGATTACTTCATGGTGAAGGGTCCAAAAAACTTGGTTTGGCTTACCAGCCAGCTTTTAATTTTTAAAATTATTTTATTTATTTATTCGGTTGCTACCAACCTTGTACTTTCCCTCTAAGCCCTCTGGTATGCTCATACCTTGAGGACAGAAGTGGGATTTTCTCTCATTTGTGCTGAGATATGGTAAGGAAGTATTTCCTAAACTATAAGAGAAATTCTTGGCTGATTCTTATCTTCTCCAGATTTCAGCAGAAAGTGAGAGAAGGCCTCTCCTCTCCCCACCCGAGTCTTCTCGAATTTGCTGAGAATTCAGGGGAAAGGAATGGGTTTTGTGTGGGGTAAGGGGGAGAGGCAGTCATCACCGAGGACATGGTGATGAGCAGTGTTCCCTCTAAGCTGAGTTAGTGTGAGCTAGCTCACAGTTTTTTAGCCTCCGGCTCACACATTGTTGTCTTGGCTCGGGAAGGAGGGCTCCGGAGCAAACTCATTGATGCAGCAGCCAAATCTCTTGCTCACAGCTTTAAGGTCAGCAGCTCACAAAGTAGAATTTTTGCTCACAAGCCTCCACAGCTTAGAGGGAGCATTGGTGATGAGACTGGTAGAACCCTGTTCACTATATTTCCCCCCCAATTATACCAAACAGTACAAGCCTTATGCACAACCAACTGAACACACAACATAAAATATACTAAAAGACATAATTAAACAAGCCACTACTATGATTTCTCTTTATATATTAAAGTATTGGTAACACTCGGGAACATGTAGAATTATTTTGATTCAGAAACACAACTGAATGGAAAAACAAGTTTCTTACATTAATCAACCGTGATTAATTCTCCGCTTCATATATATAACAACTGTCCATTTATTCATTAACGTGATTTACTGGGCTTTTCTAAACCATTCCTCAATAGGCAGCCTCCTATTACTTTTCCAATTTCTTGTAATAATCCTTTCAAGCAGCCGTCAGCAGATTTCTGACTCTCTGTGTTTTTTATTTTTACATTTGGTCATAAAATTTAAAAGAAGAACTTGCGGAGTGAATAATATTCTGGCCCGGATCCTGCAAACTGCTAGTGCTAAAATGACCATCCTTTTGCCCCTTTTTGCACGAGTGGACTTCACCTCCTTTCCCCTGCAGCTACCTGACCCACATAGCTATCAGGATACACAAGCCCCTCAAGCCTGGGAATACATTTTCTTGGGATCAGAAAGGGGTCCTGTTGAAAGGGGAAGGTAGAGAAGTGCCCATGATCCTTGTTCCCCTCCAACCCTCTGATTTCTGGCACATCCTGAATAACATTGAATACCTCCTTCCAACTGCTTCTTACAGTTATACAGCTCCATCAAATATATGTCCAGCGCTGTAGATAACATTGCTCGTTGCTCAAAGAACTGCATTGTTCAGCGTAAGCTTACTTGTACTTTTAGGTCTTCGGGTGCCCCATCATCATCTGAAGTGTGGAAGATGGTCACACAACAGGGCCTTTTTGGTGCTGGTGCCCGGGCTTTGGAACTCTGTACCCAAGAGGCTAATCTGGCACTCTCCACTTGCCTTTAGGTGCCACATAAAGACACTACTGTTCTGATATGTATTTACTAGGGACAGAAAAACGGGGGGAGGGGACACTTAACCCTGAAACCTAAGATCAAGAACCTAAAGAGGTAAGTCAAACAGAATAGAGGGCCAACAATAATGTATATAATATAAAAAGATACATGTATTTATTAACAAAGAATTTAAAAACAAAGGGACAATTTTACTGAGGACACTTTGGCTTGAACTAAACAATCATTGGAAGGCACTTTCTGGAACAGAAATTATCATCAGTGAAATTTAATTTGGCATGTCATTGCATCTTTGGAGGCCTCATTTATACTTTTGATCTGTGCCTAGTGGTTTCACTTTGGAACAATTCTTTTCTGGTCCATTCTGTATCCATGTTGCATAATTGCATTGTATTATGATATAAGCCAACTTTCATTGTGTTTGACCACTGAAGAAGGCCTATACAGGCTGAAACAGGTCAAGTCCATTGGCCCTTGTGTGTAAGATTTTGGTATTTTTACATGAGGTGTGATTGGGCCCTTATATGTTTTTTAAATTCTTTGCTAATAAATACATGTATCTTTTTATATTATATACATTAAGTTTTTATTGTTGGCCCTCATATTCTGTTTGACTTACCTCTTTGGGTTTCTGATATGTATTTAACCTACATGGAAAGTGAATTCTGTTGGTTCTTTTACACGATTCTTGATGGCTAGCGCTGCTGAAGTTTTATTCTGCTCAGTCTGCGTTGCCTGTTCTATTGTTTTTCTGGACAATGTGCAACTAGTGGTTTTGTTTCATTTCACTATGATTATTAGATGCCTTGAAGGTCTCATGTGTGTGGACAGAGTCAGGATAAAATATTTTAATAAACATTCTCTTATAAGGACCCCTGTGACCCAGTCTTATGTAGGGCAGTCAGAGAAATACTGTACCTGGCATGATACCCTGGAAATAATGTATGCCTTGGTGGTCACAAAGCAACGAAGCTCCAATATATGAAAAAGTGGAGTCCATGCTGCCAAATGGCAACATTATTTGAATAATACTATTAGTTTGTCCTCAGATTCAACTTCAGCATGGCCTCGTGAACATTCCATTGGGAAACTGCTGTGTGAAGGTCATTATGATGGGCAGGAGATCAGATCTGGGACAACCACTTATTTGAGAAGCAACTTAAAAGCATATCTCATTGCCTTATATGGAGTCAGCCCATTGGTTCATCTAGCCACTACTGTCTACTGAGACTGGCAGCTGCTCCCACAATTCTGAGCAGAGATCCAGTTCCCAGGAATTGCTGCCTGAGATCCCTTACTGGAGAAGTCATAGACTGAACCAGGGAACTTTTGCCCATTCAACTTATGGTTACTGCTGAACTCCAGTTCTTATTCACTGTCCCTTAAACTGTTGCTTGCTGAAGCCTGTATCAGGATCTTACTTTGTGTGAAGAAGCAAGTTGAATAAAAGCCAGTGTTCTGAACGGGGAGAAAAAACTCTATCGATCAACTTTCAGAACTGTTCTCTCCAAACAAAAGGAATGAATTGACACATCTCTGCACATAACCCACATCCCCCATCACTTAAGCAAACCCAAGGCTGGCACTTACGGCAGTAGAAAGTCTAGATGCCAAGGTCATTTCAAGGTTACCCTTCAAGCCAAGAAGGGCAGGAACCAGAATAAATACTTCCGTGATTTTCTTAAACACCTCCCAGTGCTGAGAGAAAGGGAGAGGAGAAGAAGTTAGTCAACCTAATATAGCTCATTACCACTATACACACCCCATAACTTTATACACGCACACACGTACCCCTTAGCACACTGTAGTGGCAACCCCCCCCCCCAAAAAAAAACACCTCCAGCCACTGAGCATATTATCTATGCACTGTCTAGAGATGCAACACTGGTACAAAGAAACTGTGTGTCAACAAAACTTGTGAAACTTTCTCAGCCTCTTTTCCAGAAGACATGAAACAAACATAGGTTGTCAATAGGGTTGCCAAAAAATTTTTGCCCGGGAGCAGGGGGCTCCCGGCCGGTGTCCTGGTCGTGCGCGTCACCCGGAAGTGACGTCGCACGCTGGGGGCAGGCCACGCCATTTGAGGGGAAAACAAAGAGTTTCCCCCTCAAATGGCGTGGCCCCACCCCCAGTGTGCGACATCACTTCCAGGTGACGCACACGTGGGGGTGGGGTTTCCCCCAGGCCCGATTTTCGTCCCGTCGAAAATCGGGCCGTCAAAGCAGGGGATTCCCCGCCCCCCAGCCCAATTTGGGAACCCTAGTTGTCAAACTGGCTGCACAAAAGAGACATCCAACACCACCATAAATACAGAAAGCGCTTTCACTAGACCAACTGTTTTGTTGACATAAGGGCATGCAAATTCAACAGTTATACAGAATTCTTCATCAGGCAGAATGCATATGATTGCATGGAGTAAGGTTGTGCTGGGGTCATGGGCACCTACTACACAGTGCCAAAAGCATCCCTAAATAGTAGGGTTCCCAGCCCCAAGGTCCCGTAACAGGGATGTCGCTGGGCAACGTCCCTAACGCGATGACATTACCCAGAAGTGACGTCATCACATCGATGTGATTGGGGGGTGACACACTAATTTTTGGGCAAACTCTATGGTTTTGAAGGCAAAAATCCTCAGTTTCCCCAAAAACTAGAGCGTCACTCCCCCGACATCGCCAATGCACCAACGTCACTTCCAGGTAAAGTCATCATGCCCTGCACATGTAGAAGATCCTGGGAAGGACCTGGGAGCCCCCACCAGATGCCAAGTAGGACCTGGCAACCCTACTAAATAGCGATTGCCATAATAAAAGTGACTGAACTGAGGCTATTGTACTTTGATCATATTATGAGAAAACAAGAGTTGCTGAAAAAGACAATAATGCTAGGAAAAGTTGGAGGAAGCAGGAAAAGAGGAAGGATTGAAAAAGAAGGCAGAGATGGATTGAGTCAGTAAAAGAAGCCATGGCCCTCAGTCTGCAAGACCTGAGAATGGCTGTTAACAACAGGACGTTTTGAAGGACATTAATTCACAGGGTCACGGTAAGTTAGAAGCAATTTGCCAGCACTTAACACACACACACACACACACACACAATTCCTCCTTCCAACCTTCATCTAGTCAATATTGCTTTATCATGACTTCCGGATTTGGCAGGCTGATGGTGGCCGTATCCCCGGGGAGCTCCTGGGGGGTGATCCGCAGACCGGCGCATTGAGAGGGGATGCGAATGTCCGCACGCCCCTGGGACCCTTGCGATGGGTCCCTTGCCATGGGGCGCTGAGGGTTGCCTCTCTGCGGGCACACTTCCAGCAGATTGAGGCTTCCCTTTCCCCCGAAGGTCTCTGCGCTGTGTTCTCGAATGGGACTAAACTATGCACACTGGGACAAGCGCTTGGAGGTACAGTGTTTAAATCGTTACCTGGCAAGATCCGAGTGATCAGACATTGAAGAGTGAGTCCGTTAAAGCGAGAACACCAGAAAATGAGCGAGTCTCCTTTTACTAAAAGTGAGGGGGAGGAGGGGACTCTCCCCCGAAAAGAACGAATAAGCGATTAAAGAAAAGCCTTTGTAGTGGGGATGGAGTTCTAAGCGACAACAGACTGTATTAGAGAGACTCCAGGAGTCAAATAAGCATTTGGGCAAGTTTTTGGGACTTTGGCAAATTCTATAAAAAGTAAACATGTTTAAAAATGGTGATCGGTGAGGCAGTAGAAGCAGCAAGCGATATCTAAGCTTTCTTCAGGAAGTGGAAGAGCAACTGGCCCATGTGACCAGAAGTAACCATAGACACTTTCAGGCTGTATGTCAAGCCTTTGCCCTCTGCTGGCAAAAATGAGGTACTTCACAAGAACTGTGCTATATATTGGCTGTCATTTTCAAGGGACTATGTTAACATTGGAGAAGCGACTAGCCTTTGATCACAGGAACTTCCAGTATTTAAGATGAGAGTCTAATGAGTAGGTTCAAGTGGTGGGGCCTGTATGCAGACGTTAAGCGAAGCTGAAAGTGAATGGGTATGCCATGGGCATATCCAAAATAAGTCTGACGGGCAAAAGGGTGGATAGACTCTCTGTAAGTTTGGCTTTCAAAAGCAACAAATGGAATGATCTCTAAGACTGAAGGCAAGAATTCAAGCGAATAACAGTCCTTGAAAAAGAAAAAGGGACTTTGTTTTGAGATGACCAGTTCCAGTTCCCGCAAGACAATGCCACAGGGAAAGTGTTCAAGAAGAAAGAACATTACAGCGTGGAAAGAGATATTGATTGTATTACACCTACTGAGGGAAATTTATTTATTAATTGGCTTTAAAGGAAGGAGGGAAAAACAATTGTAAAATGAGATGCCACTGTTCTCTGAAATTTGTGTTTAAGTTAACTAGCGACTCTCCTGGAATGCTCTTTATATAGTCAGATTTGATGGTTTGTTAACATAATCGATGATGATGATTGACCACTCTCAATGTTAAGAAAAGCAATGTCTATATTGTTAAGCTAATACTTTTATAAGCAGTGTATGACCTCCAACTCTTGGGTTTTTAGTGGGTTTTCTTTCCTTTCTCCTATAGATGTAGATCCCCTCCCTATTTTTGTTGTAGTTTTTAGAAAATGCAAATTTAAAAATCCCCTACGGGGGGCCAAAAATAATGATAATATTGCTTTATCACTTCCAAAAAAATTACCATTAAGGACATTCTTCAAAAGATTCCATGCTCCATCACTATACGGTTCCAATGTGGGAACACTTATCTTGCCTTGTTTAAAAGAAAAAAACAAGCAGTCTAGAAAATTGAGAAAACATGTCTAGAGATCTACTGCCAGTCAGAATAGAAAGCATTTTGATACCTCACCTTCCTTCTCAGTGAGAACCCAAAGTGGCTTACAACATTCTCCCCTCCTTCATTTTATTCTCACAACAGCCCTGTGAGGTAGGTTAGGCTGAAAATGTGTGATTAGCTTGAGGTCACCCAGGGAGCTTCCATGGCAGATTGGGGATTCAAACCTGGGCCTCCCAGATTCTAGTCCAGCACTCTAACCACTACACAACACTGGTTCTCAGTTGACTGACCAGATGGCTTACAAAAACAGCTGGAAATTATAATGGAGACCATATAGGCCCTGGACTGTGCATTTTGGATAATGGATGGACTGATGCCAAAACCAGCAAATTGCTACCAGCAGTAGGTATATACGAGGATCTGGATGAGGGCCCAGACTGAGACCAAGAGGAAAGCAGAACAATTATAGGCTCACAATAAAATGTGAAGGTTGAAGTCCCTTCCATATCCCTGTTCACCGTCCCACCTGCACATACCCCCCATCTACTACTATATGCCTACCTTCTTCCCCCAAATGTCCTTTTATTTATCTACAGTACACAAACCCAGAAAGCCCATTTCTGCTGACAATTATTGACGCTTGCACAAAAAGATCTCCATTTAAGAAGGGTTGTTGTGATCGAGGGCTAGCTCCCAAGAAGTGAAGGAACTTTTTGCTAACTTGATCCAACATCCAGAAACTGGTTCATTAAATTGGAGCCCATTTTAGAAACATCATGGAAAGGGTGCCAAATTTGATTAATGTTACTTCTATGTTTCCTACCCATGTTAAAAAAGATGAACACCACCACAAAGGTCTGGAAGCAAAACAGAACGATACGAGGTGCAAGGTAGATGACCAGGAAGGTTCCAACATCAGTTAGTGGTAATTGGGCCTGTGGCTCAGTGGTAGAGCATATGCTTTGCATGCAGAAGGTCCTGGCATCTCTGGCGTCTCCAGTTCAATGGCTCAGGTAGCAAATGATGTAAAAGACCTCTGCCTGAGACCCTGGAGAGCTACTTCCAGTCAGAGTACATAATACTGACTTTGATGGGCTAATAGTCTCACTCGCTGGCAGCTTTATACATTTGATTGGATCACTGTATTGGCAGTGCAAACAAGACATCTTTGGCTTTCAGGATCATGACAACACATTTCAACAAGATGGCCTAGACAGCATGTAACTAAACCTGAGAAACGTATCCTCGTCAATTCCTGTTGCTAATCTTCCCAACTGGGTTAGAAACGTGTCACTGGGATAACAGAAGAGGTGTAAACATCCAGGATGATACTCTAACCATCTTCCAGGAAAATTTAAAAGATGGCACTTATAGTTCATTTACAGATAGCAAAGGGGTATCCAAATGCTCAAGAGTCAAGTGACTGCCCCCAAACACAAACATCCATTTCAAATTAAGTTTGTTCTCCAGTGGGGTGTGTTGTAACAACACACAGTCATTGTGATGTAGTGGTTACAGTGTTGGACAAGGATCTGGGAGACCCAGATTCGAATCCCCCCCTCTGCCATGGAAGCTCACCTTGGGCCAAGATGCACATTCTCAGCCTACTCTACCTTACAGGGTTGTTGTTGTGATGATAAAATGGAGAAGGGAACAACAATATTGTAAAGTGTCTTGGGTCCCCATTGTGGAGAAAAGAGGCATATAAATATCTAAATAAATAAATCGACCTTTCACAATCTTTCCCTCTGCCTGCATATATTGTGATGATGGTGAATACGTTTTATTCATCTGATAAAGTGGGCTCTGCTTATGCGTCACTCAACCTGTCAGCCACAAGACTCCTTTTTTTGTTTTTAGCAATTAATGTAAGCCGGCTGAATTTACAATAGCACAGCCTGGCTCAGCGACTTCGCATTCATT